AAGTTCAAAGCAATAAAAGGTCTTAAACTGCTGCACAGTATTAAAAGCAATAAATCAATAAAAAGTACACCTCTGTGTAGAAGTACATCCCAACATAATTTAGTCCTGCCAGTTGCAGTTTAAGTGCAATTTCCTTCAAACTCAGATACTCAATAAGAAAGTTTAACAACTTGTAGCACAGACAGAAATATACGAGCGATGATGACATAAACTGAGGGCTGTTTTGCTCAGGAGTATCAAAGTTACCTGTATTCCCTTGGACAGACAGGAGGTCATTAGTGACCCCTCTCAGTGTCTCCAGGGTGGAGTGTGTGACCTCATAGGTAGGGAGGACGATATCCCGTGTGTCTGTGGAGCCACACCACGATAAGATCGGAACAGCAGCCGACGTCTTCGTCTCTAGCGGCCAGTCACCCACATTGATGTAAAACTCCACATCAGGCACCCTCACCTGCAACAGAACATCGCTGTGTGACTGTAAAGACTTTATATATATATATGTAACAGCACAGCATGGAAGAAACAGCAGAACAACTCTACCTTCCTCGTCAATGATAGCAAAATTTCATCAGAGAACATCTTGAAGTCGGTGTATTTTCCCAGCGTGCGCCGGTACACGTGGTTGTTGATGATGGCGTAGTGAATGAGCCCTCCTCTGTTGGAGAATCTGTGAGGCACTTCCTGCCTGAGATGCTGCAGGTCGATGGTGGGAAACGACTTAAAGTCATCTAGAATCTGTCGGTCATCGGCGGGACACTGCATGACGCTCTGCCAGACGGAGGCATCGGGCTCAGGACAGTCACAGTATTCATGATGCACTGGACCTGAGCATGGGAACGAGCCATCAGGGTTAGATACACGTATAAATGCAATGTGGAAGATGAGGAGTCGCTGTCAACTTATTAAAAAAAACAAACCCCAAAATATCTGGAACAGTCGATGAAGTCAGTCAATGTTGATAAATCCCAAAAAAATACAAGTTACTGGATGTAAAGCTGCGTTAAATCTAGCGTATGTATGTGCACTCACCCCCAAATGTGACTACAAAGCAGCACAAAGACAACACTTCTTTATGCCAATGCTATAGTTAGTGTTCTTCTGCTCTATACATATGGGCTGGCTGTAATGAGGAGGTGGAGCAGGTTATCTAAGGTTGGTGGTGAAACATCTGGTTACTTGAGTCTGCATGTCAAAGTATAATTGGGCAACATACCAAACCCAAAGCTGCTCTCCAGCGTGTTCATCGCAGTGTGAATGTTACATAAAAAGCACTTACGTGTAGACAAAAGTGATCGCATGAACCAGTCTATTTAACATTTACCGCATTCTTTTTAAAATAATTTTAATAGCTCTGACAGTCACCCTGCTTTTAAGTCTTTACTCCTTCCTGTGCTTCAGTAAACATCAGTCTTCCATTAGTACAACATGAAGTGGACAGTGTGACTCGTGATGGAAGAGTTGAAGTATAAATGCTGCAGTTCTAGGATAAGTATTTTGAGGTCCCTGTCATTTCTATCTTCATCATTCATTGTGTGGGTTACCCATGGAGTGGTGAGACTTTAGTTTGTGGTCACTCTTGGCTCTGCTATCAATCCTGACTTTATTTTTTGTGCAAAACACTGGCATCATAATTAAGAGCAATGCACTCTGGAGATAAACTTTGCACGTAAAAGCAATTCGTCATTTTTATCCCGATTTCTCACCATTAAATTGATTTTTCATCTTCGTATAAGGGGTCTGAGGACAGAAGGTGATGCAACAGGTTTTCTGACTAACCTTGGATGGTGTAGGGTGAGTTAGCCACAGCAGCATCTTTGTAAGAGACCTGGATTTTCAAACCCTTGTGAGCAGTGCTGTAGAGCCGATACCTCAACAGGAAGGAGCCGTCTCCTCTGTCCAGAGGTGGAGGGACGTGGATACGGAGGTACTCATTCGTATCCAGTGAGCCGATCTTCACTTTAAACGTGTCTTTTCCTGAGCACCACATTCAAAAAGCATTTCAATGAACAGTTTGAGTGCTAACGCAAGTAACAGTTACGCATATTCGGCCGCTCGTGCACGTTTTCGTTAACATTAGCCCCCAAAAACTTTAAACGTAGCTTGCTAGCCAGCGGGGTGTAATAACAAAAGAATGCTGCAAAAACAGTTTAAGGTTAGCTTAAAAATACTGCAACAGGACTTTAGTGAGCTAATAATGTCGCGTTGGTGGTCATTTACCTGGAGACAGAGTCAGGTTTTCTCCTTTTGAATCCACTGCCTGAATAAAGAAGTAGCGGACTGGTAACACGGTGTCCGGGTTTAGCCCCGGACCCCATATCAGACACCTCTCTGGACTGATTCCTTCAGAGTCACAAACCGGGAAGCTTGTGCTTAGAAATACTAGTAAAATTACAAATCGGCTAATTAAACCACTCGGAAACGGCTCGACTACATCTACGTTCCGGTAACACGCCATACTCCAGCAGCTGGCACCGAGTAAACGTGTACAGTCACTAAATTTTAAGTGTAAAGTTTTGATAGAAACTCCTACTCCGACATGTTGGCGAAGACAACACGCCCACTGGTGATGGCCAGTGATGCCTTCACGGGAAGTTGGAAATTTTGGGGGCATACATATTGTGAACGCCCCCTACAGACATAAATACTCCACATTACTGATAAAAAAAAAAGGATCTTAACCCCAATTAACCACTCCTTTGTTGTTGTTCTTGTTTTTTAACCAACTTTGCAAAATACTACACATAACAGCATCAGGATTAGTTATTGTCAGGGGTAAAGGAAGCCTTCAGATTTACTACATCATAAAAAGTACTTATATTATTGCATCTCATTTACAAGAAAAAGTTCAAGTTCTACTTGAGCAAAAGTTCACAAGTACCGTCAGGCCAATATATTTGGCTGACCTGTGCTGCGTTCATGTCACAAATCCCTTTACTGTTGTAGCTGGTGGGGTACTGTTATTTATTTATTTGTATTGTTATTGTGTAGCAACACAGCTATGTTCGCATAATATAAACAGTGAAGGTGAAAGATGAACGCTAACCTTATTCCACTCCATAAGTTAATGTGAGGGTTCCTGATGGTCAGGGACAAATGCAATTGCACTACAGGATGCTGTAAACAGACCAAACCTCAGTCAGGAGAACAACTGAGAGAATCCATCCACAATACCAGGTTAGTCATTAATATACTGCTGCATGTAGTTACATTGTAAAACTGAACTTTAAAAGGAATAGTGGTAATAATAACCAAGAGAGACCGACAGTGATCACCGACTTTTTAGGGGCTTGTTGAGATTAAATAGAACAAGATACAAAGCGTTAAAACATGTTAAAATAACAACAGCCTTAATAAACGCAACTGCCAAATATTCTGAGGAGTACAACTCGGAATAGGAAGTAAAGACTTCTCTTTCAATCTCTATGAAATCTTTGCATTCAGTCCCATTTATCAGCAGGCTTGTAATTAAATTTCTCAGCTGTCTACATTTCTCCAGCTTACTAAAATATGATGAATTTTTAGTAAATCCATTTGGCTCTTCATCTTATGAAAGCACCCTGGGCTTTCTCAAGGTAAAGATCATCTAATTTAGTCTGGTACTCCATCAATTTATTTTTCTGTTGTTTTTTTCCCCTGTTTTTCTGTTTGGTTTTTCTTTACTACAGCACTGAGTTATTTCTCGAAGTAAATTACTTTCATATTCTCATTTTTCCATATTGTTATTTGCAGAATTTTATAGTAAATTCTTTGATCCTGAATTGAACAAATTCCCATTTCTGTATAATACCCACTATTGATTCCTTATTTTCAGTATCTCTGATTATATGTCTAATTTTATCATAATATTAATCCCTATTTAAAAGGCTGGCATTGACTTCCCAATATTAATATCCCCTGCTACTAAGTTCCTTCCTTGTTGGTTCTAAGACAAGATCAATAAAGCAGTGATCAGATAGGGGTGCTGCTGCTTTCTCCTTTAGGGTTAAACCACGAATATTTCTTAACTCCAGGATTCATACATCTCCAAATGTCTGTGAAATTATTATCACAAGCAAAGTTCTCAGTAATGTTATTCTGCTGCCTCCTTCCTAAGCGAGGCGCCCATCTGTCCATCCATTCATCTGGTGTCAATTCAATTCAATTCAATTTTATTTATATAGCGCCAAATCACAACAAAAGTCGTCTGTGCTGTGATGAACTCTGAAACCTGACTGAAACTCTTCAAATAAACCATTCCTCTGCAGATGATCTGTTAGCTGTTTGACAACTACTCTTTC